TTGAATCCATCCCACTGGCCGGTGAGGTGTTGTAAAGACCAGTGCTGAAGTATGGAGGGTCACCACTCCTAGCTTCTCTTCAGCTCTTCCCCGTAAATGCGACAGTTCGGCCAAGTTGGGATTTATTTTGCGATTTTGAGTGCTAATCCATGTCACCTGTATCTGTTCTCAGTAACACTCTCCAGTATGAAATCATACCAAATGCTTCTCTAGCTTCAACAGAGATTAAACCTACTGCATTAACAATGTAAGAATTCATTTATGTTAGAAAAGAGTTCTGAGTTAATGTGACATGAGCCACCTTGGTAAATTTATCCCTTAAAATCAGGTGTGCTGGTTGCACAAGACTTTGGCAAATGCCTTTCTGCTTTCCTTTTTTTTAACTTTAATTTGAGGTTCTTATCAACCATGCTAGCCCCAGTTCCAGCGAACTTCTGCAAGAGGTGTTTGGGTAACTGTCTCTTCATGTTATTAGCGTCATCCGTTAATCAGATATTTCAAACAGCCAGAGCCTCCATCCTTGTCTGTCTGCATTTTCCTGTCACACCTTCTCATTTCTTCTCAGGGAGAAAAGCATTTTGATGATCACCCAAGTCTCCATGTCTTTGTGCATTGCCATCATCTTCACCAGCCTGGTGATCTGGTATAATTCACTGGGAATCTGGTCATGTTTTTTGACCAAATGTAGAAGATGGTTTTTCCTCCATGAGCCCCAGCTCAGCATCCCACAGTCCATGTCCTGGCAAGTAACAAACACCAGCTTTTCTGGGTATACTCTGAGTAGAGGACTGACCCTACACCTGTCACCATACACACTGGGTAGTCTCTTTCGAGTCCCAGCTCTCAGGTTATACCTCATTTATTCTGCTTTTGGTAAATTGTTCTGTGGTGCCTTGTGAACTCTCCTTATCCTTGGTTTCCGTGTCTGTGTGTGTACGGTGTGCCAAGACTTGCTTTTCTTCTCGTCTCATCTTCCTTGGCACTTTATCTTCTGCCTACTTCTTTTTACACTAGTATGAACCTCATTTTTTATTCTGTTTCTCTTTGTACTAGCTCATCCCTTATTATTTCCTGTCCTCGTATTCTTCAAAGTCTGCCTTCTAGAGTTTCTTCATTCTGCATATGTTAGGAGATGGTGAACTGTCTGTGCGGCATCCTTTTTCCTCCTTAATGATTTTGAATTCCCATCTGAGCTCCATTTGTAATTCTTGGATTTCCTCCTGGTATACAGGAGTTTTTGGTCCTGATATGACATGAGTTCTGTCAGGCAACGCTTTCTGGAGTAGCTTCTACCAGGTACCCACTAGAGGATAAAGCATATTCTTTATCTTCTGTTTTACTGCCATCCCTTAGCCCTCCGATCTAAGAATCTACGTTCTTAGAACTCATTTGTCCAACCTGACTTTGAAGAGGGAATAAAGACAATCCCCCAAACTTCCTCCCCAACAAATTCCCTCTGACATGCAATCTTTTTTTCCTGCACCCTCTTCACTGCATGATTTCAAATATACAAATGTTAGAGAGAAAATGTAATGTACACAGTGCAAGATCTCTAAAAATGAGTAATACCATCTTAATACCAAATTGCAGTATGAAAACTTAGTATTTCAATCTAAGAAATGTCTTATGTCCATGAGAAAGGGTATTTTTGGCATGGGATGTGAGGCGTTAGACCTTAAACCTGCCATTAGCCCAGGCACTATTAGTCCTTGTCCTGCAAGTCAACCAAGTATAATTTGATAAAAGAATGGAACTCTGTATTTGAGCAGAGAGGGCGATGCTGCTTTGACATGTTTCATTTTAAGAAGCAGCATGTGGATGTGTCTGGGAGTTTCTAAATTAGTCACAACAACGGTGGATTAAATAGCCAAGGGAAAGTCATATGGCTGAAGATGTATAATAATGCAATGTATTATACAGCACTACTGTTTATACCACAGATACCAATGAGGTCAGCAGGAATTCTGGGGTTTTTTCAGGTTAGGGAGGTGAAGCAGCTGGGATTGTATGTGGTGTAGATCTTCTACAGATGATGATAATCTTTGGAGAAGATTTCACAAGGGCAAAGAAGAGCAAGGAACAGGTAACAGTAAAGATGAGGTAACTTTTATATATGGATTTAAAAATTTTTTTCATTTTCAAACGGAAAGCATTTGGGCACATGAATCAAATACATTCAGGACAACATACAATAAAACCATTCTGGATAGGAGTGCATTTTAAAAACACTGCCCACAGAGATAAATAATAGGCATATTATTAGGAAAGATGCAGGGAGCCAGGACATAAGAAGTTACTCTACTAGACCTCCCCCTGCAAGTCATCTTTCTATATTATTATAGGAAAGAGACTGATAGATAATTAGTGGGATGAAATTCTTTCCCACCATATAGGTACACAGACCCCTAGCAGGTAGGGTAGCACTTTTTCAACACTGGACAACTACCAGTAAGCTGTTGAACAGTAGGAAGCTAAACTGTAAGAACAGATGTTCTTCTTGACATTGCAGCAAACCAACATGAAAAGTTATTTCCTTCTCATTTTTATGCAGCTACTATATTACTTTAGTGTATGAAAATATGCTTTAGTCAAACGGTCATCTAATTTAGTTCTAATTTAGTGGTCTGAAACTTAAAATAGCAAAGATGCTCTTTTAGAATCCATTAATTTGTCACTGTTGTTCAGAATAAATTAACATTTGAAATTATAATGTTCTAAATCCCAGATTGAAACAGTCATTTGCTAAACTCTCCATTCAGGAACTGTGTATATATTAATATTTTAATGTAACTTTAAAAGTAACAAGGAATGGGCTATTTGGCTGACATTTCATGTGATCTAGCAAAGAAGAAAGGGAAATTAATAATCGGTAAAATAGGGAAAGGATGAGGAACAAGAATGAACAAGATAAACTGATTCACTAACAAACCAGAAAGGTTTCTGAAAAGTCAAGTATAAAAACTGCTACAGCCCATGGCAGGTTAGCCAAGATATACACAAATAATCCACACAATGGCCTTGGCAGCATTACACTGATAATATTTTTGCAAGGTTGAATTAGAGCTGAACAATATTCTAGTATGTTGGGCACAAACATACTGATATTTTTATTAAGTGTCATGCATGTATATGTTCCTTTTTTGCCTTCAAGAAAAACATCTGCCACAGTTAGTTAAAAGAAATTCCCACATGACTCCTGTTTGAGTTTCTGTGAGTGTCAACTGTGTGGAACTCTCGTGGTTTCCGTGTGTTTGTGCGCGTGTTCCTGTTTTTTCGAGATCTGGCAAGGACAGATTTAGCAGGCAGTGGTGAGGGCAGCAGACTCCCTTTCAGTGCTCCTGTGTTGTGTGACACAGAATTTTGTGTAATTCTTCCGCGCTCTCTTTGTCACCTTCTGCCATTACACATTTCGCTAAGAGGATCCCTTGACAGAGTTTCAATAGCAATGAGAGCTATGAGTGGCTTTCCACACTTGTGGATTTACTGTTTGGGGACTGCAGGTGAATGTATATATTTTGGCATTTAAGGATCATGCACTGGTCGTTCAAAAGACATGTATCTTTCACAAAACCTCTCAGCCTCAGAGACTCATAAAGCAGAAATGCTATCACAGATGATAGGAGACCAAAAAAGAAGCCCCTCTAGAGTGTAAGCTATAAAGACTCAAACACTGACTGCATGTATGTATCCAGTGAAAATGGGACAAAGATGTTCTGTTTGTTTGTTCATATGATTTTAAATGGGCAAAAGGTGGTCTTTCCCACTGTCATTTGGACAAGGATAAAAGCTGTGCATTAAAAACCCTAAACACAGAGGTTACACAGGCACACACATGCTCACGTCTAAAGATGTATGCATGTGTGGATAAAGAGATGTATTAATAGGTGTATATGTAAGTTTAAAATTTTGAAAATCCCTAACGATAACATTAAAATAAAAAGTTTTTTAAAAAGAATCCTGTAGGAATTATCAAAGGGAGCTGGACTATTTATTGGTATCTAGAGTTCATGGGTTCATTTTTCTTAGCCTTTAATAACGTTAGGTGATTGTTGCTGAAGATTAAAAACTAGCCCAGGGAAGCAGTGTGATCTAACAGATAGGGCATTTACCCAAGTGTCAGGAGTGCAGATTGAAATTGTTTGTGTGGAAGTCAGTAGAAAAAGTTCAGGGAATTAGTTTTTTAACTTCAGTCTTACACCTCAGTTGGTATTTATTGACAGTGTGGCCTTGTGCAAGTTATTTTTCCTTCTTTGTGCCTCTGTTTTTTTCTCTCCCATCTATCAGCGTGCCTTGTCTGCAGATACAGGTCTTCAGGGCTCTGCCTGCCTTTTTTTTGTGTGTTGAGTACTGAGACCTAAATTTTGGTCAGGCTACGTGATACTGCCTTAGAAATAGTAACATACTGGCACAAAAATGGACAAGTGTTAAGCAATTAATTCATCACTAGGTTCTTTTCAGATTTGAACAGAAATTTAGGTGTTTCTAAAAATTAAACTTTCACATATGTTAACTGAGGTTTACCAGTGTGGTATTGTTAGAGTGCTCTCCTTTTCAGCTGACTCTTGTATCAAGATCCTGCCTTAAATTTTAAAATAAACAGTAATATTGGAAATTCCTCTCCTTCTCTGTAAACTGTACATTTTCCATTTTTTTTAAACTAGTGGTGCTAGACAGTAAGAAATTTATGCAAATTCTTGTTGGTTTTAAAATGCATCTAAATTACCACAAATGGTCTCAAAACAGACTGAGATGGAATGGTAATCTGAATTTCAAGTCCTTTTGAATTTCAAGCTGCACGATATTGAAGGCAAGACCTGGAAGACAAATTCCAGGTTACAGACTGCTGGAGGGAAGAAAGGCATAGAAAAGGGCAAATTAATTACTTGAATGTCTAAATAGGATTTTTGCATTTATAAAGGCCACTAACTATCAAGAGAACCAGCAAATAGTAGCTGCAGTATTTAGCTTTAGGCTCTCCTTAAAGTCTCACGTGACAAAAAGCATGGAAATTTCCTCTTTCCTGACCCTACCAAAAGTGCTCTTTTTGTTTTTGCAGTGTTCATTGTCTTCTATATGCAAAATAATAGGCACTAAATCCAACAACTAATAAGAAGAGATAATATGACCAACAACTGAGAACAAATGGAAACTGTTACACACATGGAAACACATTTAAAGTGCAAATAGAAATGAATGTATGTTATGAAACCTCATCTGTTGTTGTTAGCCTGATCCTGACCCCTTTCAAGTCAATGGCAAAACCCATTAAACTTCAGTGAGAGCTGTGTTTTACTTAATTGAGATATGTTAAAAACTAAGGTGAACATTTGTACAGATTCACAGACAGGTCTTTAGCACAATATTCTCTTCTTCATAGTGGGTACCTTTACTTTTTCCATACTATCTTGTGCTGCACCTATGGGTTTAGTCCATAATTTAAGAGCCAGAAAATAAATCCTGGCTTTAGGATAAATAAGTCAGGTTGGCCTGTCTTTTCTTTCTCAGTTTGAACAGGAAACGGTTTGTAAACTGTCGATATTTAGTTACTACATTGGAATGTGATGAAATTTAAAGGCGCACAAAATTTCTTCAATTTGATGCATAAATAGATTACAGCATTTTCAGCATTCCAGTCTTATGATCAAGTGGAATCCAGATCAGGTTTCATTTAACCTAGTTAAAAGAGCAATGTGAATGGTTCCAGATACCTTGCATGGAGTTCAGCAGTGTATTCTCTCATGTATTTCAAACTCATATTGAGTAAAGACTAACATCAATAGTGAAGAAAATCCACATCTCTCTGATAGACTTTTTATGTCTTAAATCTTTCTGTTTGGCAGGAGTCTATTTTAATGGGACATTTCAATAATTCATGGCTGGATTTTCTAGAATCTGTGTTGTTCATTTTCTTGAATAATTCTTCTTTGAACAGTAAGTAATCACTTTACTTTGTGTATAAACAATTATTCAGGTTTTTTACCAGCTATATCAATTATCTGTCAGTGTTAAAAGCATGAGTAATGGCAGGACATTTAATTTTTTAATTTAACATTGAATGTTGTCTAAACAAAAAGAGAATGTACACAAATTTCAGATAGGTAGTCAGATACTCTAAATAACCCACGGCATGACTTGATATATAGTTAATAGATCCATTTGCAATACTAAGTTCCTAAAGCATAGGTCCTTATGTAATATTTGTAGCATTAGAGTAAGTGTGGAGTAGAAATATCTGTTTTTAAGATGAGAGAGCAGTTACAGAGTAGACATCAAAGCGATTGCAACTCTATAATAATAACATTTAGATGGCCTATTTAAATAGACCTTTCAGGGAGTCCTGACCGTTTGGAACGGTGATGTCTGTGCTCTCTAACTAGCTGAGGCAACATTCATTTGGTTCAAGTATGTGAGATAGTCAGGTTCAAAGGTGAACCTGTATCTATGCCCCTCACATTTCACTTCAACAAGCCCAATGCCTTTTCTTCCCCTTTTTACTGGTGAAGCATGCACTCAGGAGCAAAGATTAGAGCTAGACAAATAAAGGTGTGTGGGAACTTCTACATATTTAGATTCTAAGTAATTTTTGACAGATCTATTGCTACCCTATCATCTGGGATACTGATTAGCCAAAAGTGGTTCCCTGGCTTTTTTTTTTGCATAAACATGTTGCATAAAACTTAACATTCTGCAATAGCTGCAACAGCTGCAACTTTTCTACAAAAGCACAAATACCGGTTTTGTAGTGGATAGTGGACTGGTGAATTCTCTGGCTCCAAATGGAAGCTGTATACAAAATATACACCAAAAAGTAATACTTCTGTAGCTAATCTCTGCTATTCTCATCAGACTGTACAAGTACTCTAAAAGCCGTTGACTTTGCACCTACTGAAACACTCATGCTGTCAGACACTAAAATGATGTGGTGAATATAAACCTAAATTCTGTTCACAGAAGTCTCGATTTTTCTGCTCTTAGTTTTAAAACTTCCATAAATAGTTCCACTGAAATAGAATTGTCAGTGAAATGGAGAGATTACTCAGCAAAAATACAAGTGTTAAAAGTAGACAAGCAATAGTTATTCAAGCTGATCTTCATTTTGTATTGTAATGATTATAAATTGATAATGGAACACTTCCGTTATAAACCTGATTGAAAGAATCGGCACAATTTGTTTTCCTTCATCATTAATGCTGAAGAACTGATCACAGTATATATCCATGTGTGCAAATTCAAAATACTTTCCGAGTTCCGTCTTGAGAGCCTAAGAAAAATGAAAAAAAATAAAACCAGAATATTTGGGGAAGTGAATATTCTGAAGCTTGTTGGAATAAATGGATGGAAGCAGTACAAACTTACTTCTGGGTTAAATGAAAAATATGCAATACTCAAAAAAAAAAATCACTACTAAGATTTCCATAATATTAATCTATTTCATGGCAAGCCCTAACAGATTCTGCATTAGAAGTTGATTGGTGGAATTATCCTGAAGCTGTTAAATAGTGTGGAAACTCATTAGTAATACATTGCAAAAGCAGTGATATATTAAGCATTTTCATTTGGAGGAGGATGGTTTTTTTCTCAGTTGCACTATAAATAAGTCTTTCCATATGGATAAGAATTAGCTCACAAATTTTGCAAGTGAAGACCACAGGGTATTTTTCTTCAGGGGCTTACATTCTGTTAAGGCATCTGAAAATCATTAAAGGCTACTGATATAGAGTCGTCTCCAAGAAGAGGAGCTGTGGTCTCTGTAGGGAGTAGCCAGGACTTGGTGACTCCCCAAGAGGGGTGGTTGGTGGGGTTTTTTCCAATCACAGTCACACTCGATGTTTGAATGAATTTGACAGCATCTGAAGAGAACTCTTAGGCTGTAAAATGTAAGCATTGTTCTGCAGCAAACGTGACATCACTGCAGCCAAGTTTAAGAGTGGAAGGATAGACGCAATATATGCAGTAGATACAAAACAGATACAGAAACATTGGAGTTAGGTCTTTGGCTTTATCCAGAGGGAGCTGTTGTGGTGACCTGTGCAATGCATACTCAGTCACCAAGGCACCCATGTCCCGTCTCCCAGTGCTGCAGCTCACCAAATGTCCTTGTAACATCAGTACGGAGGCCAGAAAGTAAAGAACAACGGTACCAGAAACATGAGGTTTGTGTAATTGGGGTGGGTCCGGCACTACGTGGGCACCAAGCAAGGCTTCTTGAGCACGCAAGTCCACTTGGGGGCCATGGGGAGCCTTCCCCTTCTTGACACACCTGCCCTGCTGTCACTGCCACTGCTGTTGTTCCTAACACTCTCCCTTTAGTGTGCAATGCAGTAAAAAGCCCGTTTTTATTAGCTATTGCCATTCCCAAAATAGTAGTTGTGGACCTCAGAACCTCAGCGGGAAGGTCACAGAGAGAGCTTGTGACAGGCTTTTATCAGGAACCTAATCAAAGGGCAGCTAGAAAATCGCTTTCTGGTACAGCGGTGTCAAGAACTATCCCATAAGAAAACAGTATTTTACCTTTACACTACTAAAACTAGTCCCTAATTTAGTACTCTCCCTGTTTACCCACCTGTCAGCATTTACAGTCGTTCTAAAACAGATTTATATATAAACAGGTTTATAATATCTATAACGTGATAGTTGGAAAGTGGTAACTGGCTTTCTTTTGTAGCTGGTGTCAACAAGGCAGGACCATATAGAATTATCAAAGAATATCATTATTTCAGATCATCGAGTCCAACCATCAACCTAACACTGACAAAAACCATCACTTAACCATATTGTTAAGCACTACGTCTACCTCGAGGTACCTTAAATACCTCGAGGGATGACGATTCCACCACTTCCCTGGGCAGCCTGTTCCAATGCTAATACAAATATGAGTTCATTTTACACTGGCTTTTGTTATCATCAGCAAGTACATTATATATGAAATAATGGAGAAAGTATTTGTCAGAAAGAAGTATTTGTTCCCCACTCTTGAGAGTAATACTGATAAGAAAACCATGGATTCACCTTCAGAGCTTGTTAATGCCAGATCGTGCTATTCTATTGCAAAAAGGCAGACATTTTATTTTAGTTTAACAAGCAATTATTGCTTCCCCTTCTGCTTAAGAAGGTTTTATGTAATCACACAGTGAGTCTCAGATAAAGCTGTTAATTCTATATTCTATTTATATCAACAGAATTTACCTTACATTAATGGTTGCAAAAAGTAATTAGTAATGTGCTGAGAACATGGAAAACAAAATACAGTTTCTGACTTGCCAAATCTTCCTCACTGAGCATATTTTTCCTTAGTGGTTGCCTTGCTGTAGTAAACAAAGTTAAGGGTTAGGCCATTTTATTCATAACAATTCTGTATTGATGCATAAGAAAATTAATTGCTATTCTTCCTTTTCAGGAGAGGAAGTTGCTCTTCTGTTGTAGCCTGACATACAAAGTCATAAAAAGGAACAATCAAATTTTGTTTAGGAAAAACAAATGCATTTGATATTACAAAACATGTTGTTCTGTGACATCAAAAAGTGCAGTTCTTATATGATTGTTTAGTTACTGATAGAATTAGAAGCCACACTATGACTTCCTTATTTGTGGATAAATTTAATGAACGGTGCAAATATGTGAAATTAAGTCTTGAAGTTGTATTGCTCTCCACTGAAAATGTACAGAGTTGGGTAACTGCAATTAATACCAGCAGGCATACATGAAATGCAGGAATCAAGCATGAAAGCCTTGTTGAAGCAGAATTCCTATCAAAATCCAGTTTGGAAATACGTATCTGCAAGCACTTAGCAAGTTTTAGCAATGTCAGTTACCATGAAGAAGCTGTTTCTGAACACTTTGCACTCCGTGATGCAGAGATTCATGGTTTTTTCTTTCATTAAAATGCCAGTCAAGTGCAGGCACTGCCAATGATTTAACTTAGAGCTGAATTGGTGACACAAGCCTGTGGAATTCTCAATAAGTTTTTAATTGGATCTGAAATTGAGATGAATACACAACCAGAGCGTTCAAACCTAACATATGCAATAACAGTTGCTGGAAGTGCAGTGGGGAGAATGGATTCTTATTGCCTTTCCCAGACTATGGCATTGTGCTGTGCTTTGGTTTTGGCAGGAGATGACGCAGAGATTAAATATCACTCTGAACGCTGCCTGGAGTTTCAGGCATCAAATTGTTATGACTGGTTCTTTTAATACTCTTCCAAATACTAGAAAAAGTGTCAGATGCATTTATATTAAAACCAAACATGGTTTGGAAAAATAGTAGAAAATAGAAATGAAACTGTCTCTAACCAAAGTGAACTGCAAAATTTCCTTTTACTTCAACATTGTGGTCACAAACCTGTAAAGATAATATGCATTCATTGGACAACGCGCCACCCTAATAAAATAAGACATTTGGCAGTTATTATGTGACGTATTATCCAATATCTCCAAGGAGATTTACTCGGTGAAAATATATGGACTGTTTCTATCTGATTTAGTAAATCTTACACTTGTCTATTCACCTCTTTTTTTTCACATTTTCTCCCTCTTCAGAGACAATAATAATTTAAACTCACGTAAGTGTGGTTCCCTTGAGAGTGGTTCTAAGATGGTTTTGGAGTTACTCTACCTCTTGAATAACCTTATTCTAGGTCAGCACAAATGTGGTCTGTTGTTTTCATTTGGTTTCTTTTCTGATTTTCATGTAATGTTTGAAAATGGAAAAAAGAATCATCTGCTCTACTCTAGTAGCAGACAGACAGGGTTTGATTATTGAATACCACGAGTGGTGTAGATTTCCCTCCTTGGACAACAGTATTTGTTTGCACTGGCTGATACCTACACTCTGCAGATAACTCACTTCAACAGCACATAGTAATGTACATTATGACTAATTCAGCTTGTAAGCAATTTTATCATGGTTTCTCCAGTATAGGAGGTTTTGGCTTTTTTTCAGCATTAAGTCATGCACAATTTTTAGATGATATAGTCATACAAAGAGAAGATCATTTGGAAGAAAAAGGAAAAGGTTTTTGTTTTTTTTCTGAATTTCCTAGTCTTTCAGCATTCACACCTTCAGTTTGCATTATGATGACCGCATAAAAGCCATTCAGTTTCTCACTTTTTCCCCTCAGTGAGGCACTTAGAAGTTTCCGTACCTTACTATGAATCAGGCACTGTCTAGAGCAAAGATCCCCTGTTGTTTTTTTAAGATTTAGGACATTTCTCCATCTAATTATCTTGGAGCTGATTTTTTTCTTCTCATCTGGTGCCAACAGCAAAGAGCAGGGGCGATAAGTGAAATCAATATTGTTCTCTGTTACAGAATTGCAGGTTGCACAATGCTCTACAGTGGATCAAACAGAATTCTGAAAGAAGGTCTGGTCTGCAGCGGTCCTCCAGATCTCAACCACCCTGATGGGCAAGCATGCCTGCAAATTCCATGGCCCGCACCCGAGAGTCCTTACTATTTAGAGATGCTAATTGAATGCTGATATGTGTAAACCAATGCACAACAACCCGATCACAAGATGCAAACTATAAATGGGAGTTTTCTGAAGGAAAGGATGTAGGCTCTGAGAAAATGTTACTGTCAGAGCGTGGGTGGCCCTTGTGCTGTTTCAGCATGGGGCTGGCCTTGCCAGCAATGAGAGGGAGATGGTGGACGTGCTCCTGCTCTCTTCTACTCTGGCTGAGGGTGACTATGGCAAGCAGTTCTCTTCAGTGAAAGACACACAGGGTATAATTCTTGGTCTGATGACTATATTGTGCTTGGGTGAATCAGAGTTTCTTCCCAGGGTGATACTAGGGGTGACTTCGTCCAGTCATAGCCGGCTCTGGTTGGAAGATTACCAGATCATGAAGGTCTTTATGAGCACACATAGATCAGAAGAAACTGGAGGAGACAAAGATGATAGTGGAAGTATGATGCTGGAATACAGAACAGCACTGCAGAGGAACTGTATTTTTATTCTATGCAGACCAATATCAAGGTTAACCTGTGTAAACATTTCAGTATTTACTCATGTGGTAAAAGACCTTTATAATGGCAAGTAAATATATAGTAGGATACGTTTAGCATGTAAGAAAGTTCACGGTGAGCTCTGTAAGAACATGAAGGTTAAGTGATATCAATGTAAGCACAAGTAGCAGAAAGGGGGTTCAGATATTTTTGAAATTAAAATGTACATACAAGCATGCTGTTCAAATCAGCATGACAGCATGCACATAATCAGAATCATAGAATTTTCTAGGTTGGAAGGGACCTTTAAGATCA